AATCTTAGAGTTTGTGGCCATTTCCGCACACAGCCCGCACAGCGGAGTAGGTCAGAATGATCGAGAACAATGGTGGGAGCAACTGCGGGGGATTTGCTGTCTGCATGAGCGGTCTGTAGATAAGATACTACTCATTGACGCAAATGCTAGACTGCACACACCAGTTGATGCCATTGTGGGCAATCTCGTGGAGAACTTTCCAACCCCTAATGAGCTGTCTTTTGTAGATCTACTGGCCTCCACTGGCCTCTTTCTACCCAGCACATTCGAGGAGTTTCATTGGGGAGACATTGCCACATGGACCCATCCAGGGGGAGGCACATGCAGCAGACTTGATTACATTGCTCTCCCAATACAGTGGCGGTCTGCTGTCATCTCCACATGGGTTGATACAGAAATCAGCTCTGGTGCGGCCGTGCCAGATCACTCTTGCGCCGCTGCGTATCTGAACTGGACACAAGCGCTCCAAATGAGTGCTAGCAATCGCCATAGCTATGATCATGATGCGATACATAGGCCTGATGCAAAGCCCATTCTCAGGGACATCATTGAGACCATACCCGAAGTGTCATGGGAAGTTAATGCGTCGGTCCATGCAGCTCAGATCAGCAAGCACATCAGAGAGTCGCTCTGTAGAGCATTCCCACGTCAAAAAAGACTGAGACAGAATAAGATCGCTAGCGACGATGCCAGACAATTATGTGCCCTGAATGTCAGTCTCAGGAGACAGCTCAAGCCATACAAGATGATGGCTAGGCTTGCATTGATAAGGGAATGTTTCGATAAATGGAGAAACCGAAATTACATAGGAGTCACGGACGAATGGGCCAAAACCTTCCATGTTAAACAGGCAATGATCCGGTCCCAATTGAACGATACCGCATGGAAGTTAAGGAAACAGCTACAAGCTGATCGAAAGTCCTACTTGGCCGGCGTTTGTGATAGAGTCAAAGAGTCCAAACCCGGAGATGTGTTCCGGATGCTTCGCCCGCTCATTGGCACAAGTCGCCGGCATGGAGTTGGAATGCCACTGCCGCAAGTTAATAAGCTGGATGGCGGTGCCACGACTAGTTTTTCGGAATACCAGCAAAGATGGACAGAGCATTTTGCACAGCTCGAAGGCGGGCATGAAGTAGACCCAGCTGATTTTGTTAGGAATGAACTGCAGCGACAGCAACAAAGTCAGCAACCTAGGTGGGAGGCACTTAGTGAGATGCCTACACTATACCAGCTTGAAAATGCACTCCGACGAGTTCACTCACATAAGGCCATGGGACCTGACGGAGTGCCTGGAGACATCCTCCATATGTTTCCCCGAGAGCTGGCGAGAGTCCTGTTCCCGCTCATGACTAAATTTGCTGTGTGGCTCCATGAGCCGGTCCAATGGAAAGGGGGACAATTAGTCAAGCTGTACAAAGGCAAGGGGCCAGTCCAGGAATGCTCGAGCTTCAGAGGAATTCTTCTCATGAGCACCATTGGCAAAGCTGTACGGGCAGGAATGCGCTCCAAGGTCAACCGAGCTTTTGTAGACAATAGCACTGAAACACATTTCGGGGGCAAGCCAGCCCAAAGTGTGATTTTCGGGGCTCAAGTTGTCCGGCACTTCATATCGATGAATCGTGTCAGAGGAAAATGCTGTGCCGTGCTGTTCTGCGATATCGCCTCTGCTTTCTATCGTGTCCTGCGTCAGTTGGCCACAGGAGCGGACATGACAGATGAACATATCGCTACTGTTGTTTCCAGGTTAGGACTGCCTAGTGAAGTAATGCACAAATTGCATGAGGCATTGACAGGCAAGTCCTCGCATGAAACACTTGGAGGCACACATGCTGAGCGATCTTTGTTGCAGGAAAGCTTGTCAGGTACCTGGTTCTGGACTGAAAGAGGACCGCTTATTCATACACTAGTAGGCACCAGACCGGGTGACTCATGGGCAGATATTACCTTCAATGTTCTTTTCGCAGAAGTTATTCAGGAGACCCAAAAGGAGCTACAGAAACTCGGATTAGCCTTGATGACTTCCGCTGACGCGGAACGTGTACTTCTGCCATTAAAGGAAGAACAAAATCAGGATAAGGAAACTTCATGTCACACAACATGGGCGGATGATCTTGCCCTCCTCCTGCCATTACAATCCCCGGAGAGAGTGATACAGCAAACGGGCCTTGCTGCACAGGCTCTGCTGACACAACTAGCCAGATTCGGAATGAAGGCGTCCATAGGCACAGCAAAGACAGCTGTCTTGCTTTTCGTACGAGGCCCTCACGCTGTTACTGCGAGAAGACGGATTTACGCTACCAAGAATCCGCAAATTCCAGTTTTGCTTGAAGCAGAAACTGTTTCGCTTCCGATAGTCACACAATATAGGCATCTCGGAGGCATTGTTTCTGCCAAAGCTAGTATGAAGCTCGAGATCTCAGCACGCATAGGCAAGGCAAATGCGGCTTTTGCCAGAATTGCTCGCAAGGTCCTGAAAGTACAGGGGTATCCCCTCAAATTGCGAATCCAAATTTTCGAGGCTACTGTGATGTCCATCTTTACTTGGGGATGCGGAGCCTGGCCTCTGTTACAGGCCTCCGAGTGGAAGATGTGGCAGAATGCCTGTCATAATTTGTATCGCAAGATTAGTCCATTGGCAAATGAAATGCATTCCCGACATGTTTCCAATGCCGAAGTCCTAGTGTCCTTAGAACTGGCCACGCCAAATGACCGCCTGCACACAGCACGAGTTCGGCACCTGGGGGCTATGGTAGCACACGCCCCAACTGCGGTGTGGGCACTCATGCGACAAGATGAAAGAGCCAGACATGCCTATGAAGCATCCATGAATTGGTTTTGGCTGGCACTAGGTAGGGACGCTGACGTACCCCAGCTATACTCTTGGCCGATGTGGGAACAAATCGCCAGCAGCACTCCGCACACTTGGAAACGGCTAGTGCGGCGCATCGCTGCCAGATATAGAACCTTTCGCATCAATGAGGCAAGGGTCAAACAGGCTCATAGTGAAATCATTAAGATGCTAGTTGAGCTAGGGTCGATAGTAAAGGGACAGGAGACGGTGACCCGACACTACTGTCTCCTATGCGAGCGAGCCTTCCAAAATAAGCGTGCGTGGTTTTTGCATGCACACCACAAGCATTCGTATCTCTCAATGGCTGGACAAGCTGCCCAAGGCACTTCATGCCCTGTTTGTGCAAAAGAATATTTTTGCCGAGAGAAACTGAAGCATCATTTACAGTATAGTGCTGTATGCCGCAACTTTGCCTGGAAAGCTCGTGGCCCACCCATCACCAGTCAGACACAGGCTCACAGTCTCATGCCATGGACATACCGCGAACAGATTCCAGTATGCCATGATGATGACACCAACCGTGATGATGAGGGCTTGAAGCACGACCTGGACGCCGAGCTTCGGCGTTTCGTAGTTTCGGTCGACCATCCATCCTTCGAAGCTGACTTGTACCACAGGATACGAGACACCTGCAATAGACCAATGCCGTTCCCGGATATTGCCAAGGTCTTCGGGCAATGGCTGCAAGATCTCGGTCCTAATGCGGATCCGGCTCTCCTAAAGGTCGGCTCAAGGATCACGGGAGAGTTCGCTGCCATAGAAGGGTGGGTGCTAGCTGGGCTCGAAAAGAACATTGAGAATGAACAAGAGCGAAGAGATGTCACGTGCAGCCAATTTCCCACACACCGACCGAGAAAAGCATTCAGGGACAGATATTTCTTCCACCTTTTTAGTGGAAGAAGAAGACCAGGCGACTTGCAAGATGCACTAGAATTGCTGGAGCCGGAAGCCGGTACTACCCTCTGGGTACTATCAGTAGATGTAATGGTCTCCAGCAAATACTGCAATCTGCTACAAGAGGACACACAGCAGTTGTGGCTTCGACTAGCACGCGACGGACTGGCAGAAGGCATGCTGGCAGGGCCACCATGTGAGACATGTTCAGTTGCGAGAGAAGCAGATGGCATGTCGCCAAAGAAAGGGCCAAGGCCTCTGCGAACAGCAGAGGCTCCGTGGGGGCTGCTTGACCTTGTGCCTCGAGAATTTCAGCAAATAGACGTTGGCAATAGGCTCATGTTGTTCGCGCTGAAAGTTTGTCTCGTACAGGCGGCGCAAGGGAAGTTTTCCCTCCTCGAACACCCAGATGACCCTTGCTCTTTCGATCCCAGCAAAACGAGGTCACCAAGCATTTGGAACACTGCCTTATTAGGGTGGCTTCGCCAGACGGGGTTGTTTGTTGAACTGCAACTTGAACAAGGATTCTTCCATCAGACGAGTCCTAAGCCTACCCGGTTCCTACTGAGCGGATTGACGTCTGAGGTGGCCCGCAAGATAGAGTTTTCCTGTAGAACGTCCACGCGACCGATGGTTGCTTCCATCGGACGAGACGGTGATTCTTTCAAGACAGCTAAGTTGAAAGAGTACACACCGCAATTGTGCACTATGATTGCCCAACTGTTTTTTCATCGGTCGAAGCGCCTAGTCGAAGAACTAGAAGATGCTCCCGATGATCTCAGGTGGCTACGATCGCTTTCAGTGACCACGTTTGAGCACGAGACTCACGGGCCTGATTTCGCGCGCACAGATTAATTCAGAATTTAGATGCCAGGCGGCGCGCTTGACTGCACTTGCCGTGTGTGAAATGAAATGAAATGAAAATGGACCTTTCAATGTGGTTTTTGTCCTTTGTTTGGAACGAATGTTGCACAAGGGGCAACAATAGTTCTCTTGTGGAGCGTATGTTTTCTCGAAAGCAATCTGCTGGTGTTCCACCCTACTAGTAGCGATGGCCTCCAACCTAAAGGCAATCTGCTTGTGTTTTCTGCCAAAAGCAATCTGGAAGCCGTTTATTACTAATAGCCTAGCTTCTTGTTACTAGGAGTAAGAATGCTCCTAGTAGCGATGCCAGGAGCCTCTAGTAGCGTCCTTGCTCCTAGTAGTAAGGCCAGGAGCTACTAAGGCAATCTGCAGAAAACCACGAAGCTCTGAGGAAATCTTATCGCGCGCGGAGGAGTCGGTGAACTTCAATGGCGTGGCGCATCGTTTGCTCTGGCGAGAGCTGCACCGCCTCAACGCCATCAGGTCGTCAAAGTGCACATGAAAGCGATTATGGTTTGTTGCAACTTATGGAGCTATTAGGGTGGAGGCCATCGCTTCTAGGTTGGAGGTCAATGCTACTAGGTTGGAGGCCATCCGTTTGCTTTGTTTTCTTTGTTGCAACTCGTGGAGCTTTCTGAGATTGCCATTTGTGGAGCCACAATGGCTGGGGGTGCAATTCTTTCGCAACCCCGTGCAACGTGAACTGTTGGCACGACTCAATCGGAGCCGGCTTTTCCATGACTTGGACTCTGGTGAACTGGAGATGTTTTGAGACATGCTCAGAAGCGAGTAGATCGTGGACTCAATGTTTTTCTCTTACAACTTCGCAAAACTGGGAATGGACTCCATCACTTTTCTTCTTTTTTTGAGTTTGAAAAAGAAAAGGAACAAGGTCCTTTCATTCTAGGAGCAAGGACGCTACTAGGGGCTCCGGGCATCGCTACTAGGATCATTCTTGCTACTAGGAACAAGAAGCTACTAGCATTCTTGCTCTTGTCGTTTTCTTTTCCTCTTGAAATTCCGCTTTTGGAGGTGGGGCCGCCGTCTCTTCTGGCTGCAGGGCCCGGGCCGCGTGGAGCGGCCTTGGTCCTGGGACTCCGCGGCGATCGAGGCATGGAAGGTGCGGAGAACCGAAGCCACTTAGTGGTTTCTTGCTCCTAGTAGCGATGCCCTTTGCTCCTAGTAGCGTTCTTGCTACTAGTAGCAATGGCCTTCACCCTAGTAGCTTCTAGCTACTAGTAGCTTCCTTGCTCCTAGTAGCGATGCCAGGAGCCCCCAGTAGCGTCCTTGTTGCTAGAGTCAAGCTTCGAGTCGAGGAGTTGGGAAAAATATGTGTCGAACTGTTCAACGAGAGGAGGAGGAAAAGAAAGTCAAAGACTCTTCATCTAAAGCAAAAGGGTAACTTATTCAATTTGAAAAAAAAGGTCTTAGATTTTCACAGTGTGAGAAAAGTTTTGTGATCCAGGTATAATGTCCGGTGTTTTGGCTAGGGCCCCTTGAATCAGGCTCCATTAAACGGGCCTTTATAAAGGGACCCAAACACTTTTGTAAGACTATTTTTGATTATACCTCAGTCAGTAGAGAGGGGATTGGTGCAATGACCAGTGGCTTGGATTGGGTTTCTTGCTTTAGCCTTATAGCCTATAGCCAAAATTCACCCCTGATTTGAAGAACTTGCAGTTGACAACTGGCTGAGGCTGGTCGCACGGGAGTTCCGTATATCGACGCATGCATGAGGGAGCTCAAGCAGACTGGCTGGCTGGCTTATAAAGGCGAGCGGCCTCCACCCTTATAGCAATGGCCTCCAACCTAATAGCAAAGGCCTCCACCCTAGTAGCAATGGCCTCCAACCTAATAGCAATGGCCTCCACCCTAGTTAGC